AAAAAAGAAGGAGGGGAGGAACGAAGGGGGGGAAATCGGAGGGGGAGACAAACCATGAGAGACTCTGGACTCTGAAAAACAAACTGAGGGTTCTAGAGGGGAGGGGGGTGGGGGATGGGTCAGCCTGGTGATGGGTATTAAAGAGGGCACGTTCTGCGTGGAGCACTGGGGGTTATGCACAAACAATGAATCATGAACAGTACATCAAGAAGTAATGATGTAATGTATGGTGATTAACATAACAATAAAAAATTTTAGAGGGAAAAAAAGAAAACGAAGAAGACTGAAGAAAGGTAACTTAATAATCACAAGATCATAACTCACTAACGGTTAAGACAGTAATGGCTTAAATTGGATTACAAAGGGTTAAAGAGTAATGAGTACTGAATACCCAACACCCTGAAAAGTCTTATACTTTATAACTGCCTCATGAATTGGGTCTAACAACTCATCTTGTGATAGAACTACTTCATTAATTGTCACAAAGTGTTTAGAAGTGCAATGGTAAAAGCATACATAAAATCCGTGGCAGAGGAACAACAGATTCAAGTCTTGGCTCAACCCCACATCCGCTCTATGACTCGAGCAATCTGCCTTCTAAGAGCCCTGGTTCCTTTGTAAAAATGAAGCGAATACCGTCTAACACTCAGTTACCCTGAGAATTAAAAAATATAACTGCTTACAATGTGCAAAACGCTTCTCTACTGCTGACTAGCTAGGAAGATAATGAAATCTGGGTTCAAGAAGTTGAAAGGTACCTGAACTTCAGTGGCAGAAACAAGGCTAAAACCAGAGCCTTCCCCTCTTTCCAACATACTTAAAAAGTCTGCATTAAAATTTCAAATCCATAAGGACATGATTAATTAACCTGGTTATCTCAAAAAACCATCTGTTTGCTTGAATTGGGTGTGCATGTTTTCATGTACAGTTTGGGCGGTAAGCCACAACCACGGCTTCAAGTTACACCTCTTCATTGGTCAGAAGTCGTACTGCACAAGGTCTTTTCACACAGCCACCTCTTTTAGTGCACTATGAAGGAAAGTGTTAAGATAAAACTGCTAGTTTAAAAAAAAAGACGACTTGAGTGTAACCTGCAAGAACACACGTACTGAAAGGTCTCTCTTCTGCCTACTTTCTCCCTGAACTTAAGCTAACCCTTAGAAACAAGCACTGAGGCACGGACCTAATCTGGCCAACTAACGCTGCCTTCTGTTTGAAACGACAGAAAACGATCCCGTTGATCAGCCGTTTCAGCGGCAGACACAGTCACGACCGGGCATCGAACGGCACCACCCGATCCACCCGACCAGATGCTAGGCCTGCGCCCTCGCCTTCCGGCACGAGGTCTACTCAGACCGTAAGGGAAGGTCAGGTCTCGCCTAAAGCCCCGCCACACCAGAGGCCAGGTTTCGGCGTCTATCCACTGTCTCGCTGCAGCAAAGAGCAGCCCGCGCGCAACTGACGGGCCTGTACGGTGAAGCACTTCGGACAGAAGCTGCCCCCGCAGCCCAAGGAGAGGGAGGCCCGCGGCCGCAGGGCCAGCGCGGGTTCCGCCGCGACCCCCCACGGCCTTCAGCAGGGACGCATCAAAGCCGAGGCTCTCTGGTCGTTACCCTCCGTTGAACGCGTAGGGCGAGAAGCGCAGCCGCAGAGGGCCCGCGGTGCTGTGAGGCTCCATTGCCAGGTCTCGGCCGGGTCCCCAGCACCCCACGGCGGTCGACAGCATCGCACGGCTGCGACTTCGGCGGCGGCGGCGGCTGCTGTCTCACGGCGAGATGGCGCCCGGCCGGAAGTCCGGCCACTTCCGGCTTCTGGCGCAGCTCCTTCCGGCCGCTCTATCTCGCGCCTGTCGTTGCTCCTGTCTTTGGCTAGCGCCCCCTATTCCAAGGAGGCTGACAGATTTTTGGGGGGGCCTAAGAAAGGTTCTGCTCTCCTAAGAAAACACTCGAATTCACGCCTGATGGACAAACATTTTAAAGTCCGGCCATATAAAAAAATTGGCAGAACTGTGGAGTAACGGAAGCTCGAATACGCTATGGGAGTTGCCTAGCATAGTTGAAGATGCATGCAGTTTACGACCCTGCAATTCCCTGCCGACGTTTGTATCCTAGCCAGAAGACAAGTGCAGGAATGTTCATGTAGCATTGTTCTTCATGGCTCCAAGTTGGAAATGAGCCAAATGTCCATAAACAGCAGAAGGGATAAACCAATTGAGGGATATGTCACAGCCAAGAAAATTGACTGACTTCACCTAGAGGGGGGACACAGCAACGTGGATGTGTCTTACAAGGTTGTGCATAAGAATACATGTTCCCTAACTTACGAGTACACAGTGAGTAGGAAGAGCCTGTTTGGCTGGACTATGGAAGGGAGGTTCTGGCGCTGCAATACTAGGTTTCTTGATGTATAATCATCTGTTAATCTCCACATGTGTTTATGCACTTCCTTATATGAATATATTTTATTATCTTAAAAATATCATTTGAAAAAACAAGCAAACAAGCAATTTGCTCATATAGAATGGACCACCTGATGCATGTAATTTGGGGACCAGAAAAGATTTTTTGAAAAGTATTTAATTAAAAGTTTCCCCATGTTTTACTGTAAACAAAGGATAAAACAGGATTTTCTTTGTTGCTTATGGACAGAAAATTATTATACTTATTTAGATGCTGTCCTGAATACAAAACATGTATATAACATGTTGTATCCTTAAGGAGTTCACATCCTTACTGATTATATAAAATAGAGTTGATGCTTAAACAACACAGGTTTGAACTGCACAGGTCCACTTATATGCAGGGTTTTTTTTTGATAAATATAGTACTACAATGTATTTTCTCTTATGATTTTCTTCATAACATTTTCTTTTCTCCATCTCACTTAATTGTAAGAATCCAGCATATAGTACATATAACATAGAAAATATGTGTTAATCGACTGTTCATGTTATCAGCAAAGCTTCCAGTCAACAATAGGCTGAATGGAGTCAAAAGTTATGTGTGGATTTTCATCTCTATGGAGGTTGGCACTTCTAGCCCCTATATCGTTCAAGGGTTAACACTACCAATGAAGCAAATTACAGAAGAATATATAATTATGCTTAAATGAACCATAGGAGAGATGAAGATACCCGGGTCCAACCAAGCATCAGGAAGTGAACAGAATGAGAAAAAACTACTGATACTCTTGAAGCCACCTTGGCCCTTCTGGCCAACCTAGTACACTTTGCGCTTTAGCAAGCATCCTTAGCCCGCGTGATTAACCCGTCTTTGTATATCTATACACCATGCATTCTTTTTTAGAAAGAACAGAGCACCGGGGCGCCTGGGTGGCTCAGTTGGTTAAGCGACTGCCTTCGGCTCGGGTCACGGTCCTGGAGTCCCAGGATCGAGTCCCACATCGGGCTCCCTGCTCAGCAGTGAGTCTGCTTCTCCCTCGGACCCTCCCCCCTCTCATGCTCTCTATCTCATTCTCTCTCTCAAATAAATAAATAAAATCTTTTAAAAAGAAAGAAAGAAAGAACAGAGCACCTCTGCACGTCAGGAAAGAGAAACCAGACCCTCTTGCACAATCCCGGCCACTGGAACCAGACCCCCTTGTACAATCTCTGAGCACTGCGATATTGTCGGTAGCCAGCAGCATCGAGTCTGCACATAATCAAGAAATGTTATGGACCACCACCCTCCCTGTACTGATTAACTGCTCTAAACTCCTTTAAAAATCCCTGGGCCAGGCAGAAACCTTGGAGTTGGCCTTTGGACAGGAGTCTTCTCCCCAGGTGGCGGACCTCCTACATAAAGCTCACATTCCTTTCCAATCAAAGCTCCTCTCTTCAGTATTGGCTTTTTTTTTAAACTAGGCTCCACACCCGATTGGGGCTTGAACTCACAACCCTGAGATTAAAGGTCAGATGCTCTACACTCTACCGACTGAGCCAGCCAAGTGCCTCTTGGGTATTGGCTTTTCAAGCCAGGGGCAACCAACCCTGGCATTTGGTGACAAATTTTGGTGAGCCACCCAGGAGCCAATGCTCCTGTGGCATCCAGATCCCCTGGGGAATCCTAAGGCAGAGCAGTTTGGCCTTGGCAATGTGCCATGGCTTCCTTGGTAGTTTCCTGGGCTAGTAACTTGGAGGACTGCAGGAAGTTAGCTGCTTGGGGCTAGCTGGTCTCCAAGAGGAAATCTGAGGGATCTGTCCCTGCAGCTGAGGAGACTATTTTTGTCTCAGGGAAACTACCTGCTGATTCCCAAACAATCTAGTGGCCAAGTTTGCTTTTTGTTTTGAGTGGAAAGGGAAGGAGCATTTGGGGAAGCTGACAAACTTCTGCACCAGGTGAATCCATCGAAGTGCATGCTGATGCAAGTTTCTCATTTGCAAAGCACAGGGTGCTTCTGTTTCATTGTCCATGCTTTTTCCCTTTAGAAAGGCATGGCTTTCGGGAGAAACTAAAAGAGACTTGAATAACGGTCGATTTGTTAGGAATTTGGAACAGATCTGATTTGGTGTGTGTTGGTAGGGGTGGGTTGTGTTGTGTTATGTCAACTTTGTGTATAATGGGAAACCCCATCTCTATCCCACCAAATAGCCCACTGGGCCAAATTTTGAGTAAGTGAAAGGATAGCCAGGAGCTATGACTGTGAAAAAGATTATCTTTTACTGTAACACAGTTTGGCCAATGTACCATTTAGAGATGAAAAATGGTCACTAAATGGCTCCCTTGGATTCCTTCCTCCCATTCAGTTGCCTCTAAATAAGGGGTCTTGGTTTGGCTCTCTTAGGAAGCCGTTTGGTTCAGTTGGTGAAACTCCAACTTTGGGGAGAAACCAGAAACTAGGAAGCATTCAGTTCAATTGGTGAAGCCAACTTTTAGGGAAGAACAAATGCTGATGGAGGTACTCTAGGCTTCATTTAGTCATAGTCTTGTTTCTTCTGTGTTCTTTCTGAACTTTTGCCCAGGAAGATGGGGAATACTCCTTCTGTTCCCCAAGAAGGTCCACAAGGGCATATTTTATTTATTTTATTATTTTTTTAAAGAGTTTGTTTATTTGAGAGAGAGAGAGACAGCGCGCGTGTGCAAACGCTCTTGCACAAGCAGGGGGAGGGGCAGAGGGAGAGGGAGAAGCGGACTCCCCATTGAGCAGGGAGCTGGATCCCAGGACCCTGGTATCCTGATCTGAGCCCAAGGCAACCATTTAACCAACTGAGCCACCCAGGCGCCCATGAGGACATATTTTAAATAAATGGTGCAGAGAGCTGAAAAGCAACCAGAGAAAAAACCTGTTTTGCAGGAGAGAGAGACCCAGAGACAGACGGGGGTGGGTGGGTGGGGGGGTGTTACTCTAAGCTTTGAATCTGCCTCCAGGCTTTCTGGTGACATCCTTGCAGCTGTGCCTTCACCTCCTGCTCCTCCTGTTTCTGCACCACTGTGGGCACCGCTCATATAGCTAGCTCCTCTACCATCCTCGGTGCCTGGGGTGCCATCGGCTTCTGCTCCTCCTACCCTCATTATCAAGGAGCGAAAAGCACCCCAAATTGTTGGGTCCCCTCCTTATGAGGTTCAAGATAAAGCACCTTCCAAATCAACATGAAGGGATCCAGTGGCTCTCTGGACTTAAACTGCTTACCTCAGATTTCCCCACAGGTGCCCCAGGTAAAAAGTGACAGTGGGCAACAAATTAATGGTCTTTTAGCAGACACAGATGTAACATGTTCAGTATTAAAGCTAATTTATTGTTGTTGGTTTAATTAAAAATAAACGTGTTTTTGGAGTTATCTACATGGAATATGATCCAGATAATCAGCTTTTATTCTACCTGAATTTATTACTTAAAATTATGTTGTGTCTGTTGCAATTTGTCCAAAAAAATGACTTAAAAGGATGGTTGCTTTTGTCTGTCTCAAAGTTTTCATAGGTAATTGTTAAGAACAAGTAGGTTGAATAAATAAAAAGGCAAAGAGCTTTCAAAGTCTTTGGTAACCTGAAACTTTTGCTAAGTTAAATGATAAATTGGGTTGAACTCATTAGATATCTAATTATTTTCCAAATTACATAAAATACTGAAATATTAATTGCTAAACACAGGCTTATCTGTTTCTGGCTTCTTAATATGGAGAAACTAAAGACATTTGGGTCTGCTAATAAACACAGTTAACTGAAAGATTGTGGTATAAAACATATGTTTTTAGAAATTATGAAATGTACTCATAAATTTGCCTCCTACAGAATCCTGGTGTAATAGACAGGTTGCAGTTGGTTACTACTTAATTTTCACTGGAGACTAAGGTTTCTAAGAGTTAAAATTCTGCTAAATGTAATTAAGACTGATGGAAATAAGGAAGGCAACTTTGTATGTAGGAAAGAAAGAGATGTGTAAGAAAGGTATAAGAAATGAGAATAGGGCGCCTGGGTGGCTCAGTCGTTAAGGGTCTGCCTTCGACTCAGGTTATGGTCCCGGGGTCCTGGGATCGAGCCCAAAGTCGGGCTCCCTGCTCAGCGGGGAGTCTGCTTCTTCCTCCCCCTGCTTGTGCTGTCTCCCTCTCTCTCAAATAAATAAAATATTTTTAAAAAGAAGAAATTCAAATATGTTTTTGTTGAGGTAAAAGAAAGTAATTTTGTCCTAAAATGAGACTGGTTATTTAGAAAGAAAAGGCTTAGGACAAAATCTGAATGAAAAAGAAAGCTGTAGAAGGTTTGTGAAGGGAAAACGTTGGGAAAGAATTCTATGTGTGCTCAAAACTAAGATGGAAATGAATTCTGCCTTTCTCTCTGTTAAAAAGACAAAGTTTTCTGGGATTGT